TCTCGAAGCGAGTTCGAACTTTGTTCTTACAAGTTCCAGATAAATTATCGATAGATGATCTAATCCAGATCCTAGATGTTGATGGAACAGCACGTACCTGATCCTATGTTTCTGACCGAAACTGAAAATAGTTTCTACGTGTTTCTTCCAAGCTTTCAGTGGCTCTCGTTGCCTCGAAACGCGTTTTATAGGTCCGCGGCAGTCGTAAACAGATTCCGTGACTCGAGAATAACTCGCAGTGAATTCAACACCCTTGTGGGTGTTGCTCTATAGCTCCCCGTCCGATTCTCGCCTTCTCGAGGTTTTTCATTTACTTTTCACGTCAATATCAAACGTTTCAAACGTCAGAATAACCGAGGTGCTCACTGGCCAAGATCTAATTAATTTATCTTCGACGTGCGCGTGAAAATTCTCGACCTTCGCGCAAACCGATTTCCGATCGGTCATCGAAGGAGAAGACTTTAAGGGTCGTATCTTGGCAACCATGCGCGAGAATCAATTAAAGCTAAAACGCGAGGCACTGTTTTATCAGGAATGACGTAACAGGCGTCAATCATCGGGAGCAATCATGAAGTCACGTGAAAAATAAACGCTTATGAACACACGGGGCAAAATTCCGTCGATGTACGTTTTTATCGACCAGTCAGTCCTCTGTTCGTTTGCCCACTTTATAGCAGTCGGAATAAAAATCTTTTACACGCCTGTCTCGAGATAATAAACCCGATGAAGACCCCATGAAATATACATATCGAAGGGGGAAACGTTCCTGAATAATATTCCACTCGTAGCTAATTTCTCTCTTCTGAATTGTTCGAGAAGAAGTAACTTTTTATCGCGCTGAAAGAGAGAAGTGAAACGAGCTTCGGATTTTAACCCTTTGTCCTCGACAAACTTTTTCTTTCATATCATCTACCAGCATCACTTTGTAAATGAAGTGACATCGTATTAGAAATAATCATTCAAATGGTATTTAACACGAAATTTCGTTGATTACATCTTTCTTGTGATGTCGTTTTCAATTTTTAAGCGATCATCAACGTGCATTGCAGGTTTGCTAGAACAAGTACAACATGCAAGAGTTAACGATACATAGTTAAAATCTCTGGGAAAATAATATCCTCCGCCACTTTTTGAATTTTCAAGAAGCAATAAGAAGCCTAGTTTATGCGAATTATTCCGAATTAGGTGAATTATATCGTCAATTGACTCAGGACTGTCCTCTTCGGAAATTCTTTTGTTCTTCTTACTTCGTTATTATTATAGCTTTCGTTTAGGCGTCCGTTCAGATATTATACTATTATATATCGTATCATACAACAGCAGATGTATACTTTATAATTATCAACAAATTATACGAAGAAAAAGTTTGTTATCTAGCTTTAAGTACAATGTTCAAAAAGGACAGTCGAGTGCGAAGGGTTAAGACAAAACCAGACGTAAGTTAATAAATAAGATTTTCTATTCTTTAAATATTTCGTTTAATCTACGAATTCGGTCCTTTAATAAAAAAAAGAAAAAAGTAACTGTAATTACAAAATTAGAATTTAATAAAAGCAGGAATTTCTAAATGAATTAGTTCCAAAATAGACGAAAATAAAATTTCCGAGAGATCTATATCCTGTATCACGGCAATATCGAACATATCGCGTTTACAAAACAGACATCGTTTTTTCTGTCCACATTCTGCCAAAGAAGAAAAAAATGCTATCGAAACAGACTGGTTCACGAAACGTTGGATTAAAAGCTTACGGGTGTAACAACGGGTTGGAGGATTCGTACTCCGATAAAACTTTTTACCGTGAAACGGAAAGGCATGGATTTTTGGTACGTCCCATCGGTTCTCTCCTCCAGGACACCGACATTAACGTTCATATCTCATAACATGATGCAATTACGCACGTATCATCATCCATCAGGGAGACTCTTGTTAATGAGAAATCACGGTCGAATATTCTCTCTGATGCCGACATTTCTGACAACGTTCGCAGAGCTGCAAAGTGAATTGACTATACTTCGCCGATGTCGTAATTAATGGAACGCATAGAGGATCGGTGAATCTCGTTAATTGCATCAACGATCAGCATCGTTCATCGTTCCCGGCCGGAACGACACTCGAGTTTTCCCGAAACGAAAAGGAGATTCCAATTTTCAGGCAACTGTTTGCAAAACGTTTGTTACTCACAGAGAAAGTTCGCTGTTGTTGATCGCTGCGGTTTTGTTAATTTAAAAAACAATTGGTTCTGCCTTAAACAGAAGAAGAAGAAGAAGAAGCTACGGAAGAAGCTACGATTCTGTCATAGCCTTGAAGATATTTTTTCAGTTTTAACAAGTTGAACTAATTTGAAATTCGCAAACCAAGCGTAAACCAAAAAATGTTTTTTCTCCGTACATTCAAGTCCCCTGTAGAGTCACAAACGTTCACGGTTTATTAATGATTATTTTATGTACGTAATTGCTTAGCCTTCAAGTCAGACAAAGTAGAACGAAGGAGAGCGAAAATTCTTTGAACAAAATTTTATCAGAACGAGGAAACGAAACGGTAAAACACGCTCATTAATGTATTCATAAAATTGCTACGATCGATATTCTTAAGTGCCTTGTTACGGAGCGTGGATGACGAAAGATGGAAGGAAAACGTGAGAAGAAAGATGCAAACGACGGGACGATAGTAACGCAGCTCGTATTCAACTCGCAGTTATTAGGAATCATGAACGAAGATGCAGTTGCTCGTTAATTTTCTTGTATCATTTTGCTGATATAAACGCATTTGCGATATGATCGTAATAAATAATTAAATTATTGCTGCAAATAATTCGATTCTATTAACATATTTACTTCTTTTATCATTTTTCTTGAAGATTTACAGCTTGACAATTTGAACGACTGGATTCCGCGCGTGTGTTTAATAACATTATTCAAGCAAATCGCGACGTTTACGACCGCGAAACAGATTTACGATGGCAAAATACAATGTTCCAATAACGATAAATTTTCTTCAGCTTCAACTGTATAACTTAAAGCAATATCTAAATCAATTAAAATGCATTTCACATCAATTTCTTATCCGTTTGAAGAAATTCTCCATGTTGATCAATTTCTTTGTTGCTATCTTCCTATCATTATCGCTATATATTGAAATGAATTCGATTTCACATCGTTTTCAATCGATTTTCATCAATATCTCAAACCGCGATCAATTGCATTTTTATTTATTAAGTGCTGCTTAAATGTGTCTGCAATCAGAGCGTTGCATTGAATTAAAACACCTCGTTAAAACATACATAAATAATGTGTCGGAAAAGATTCGCAATTCTTGGAACGTTAGCAATAAATCGCTTTTGTATTAACACAGAGCGAATCGTAGAAATCTAGAAAAACGAGAAATGTAGGTCGACCTTGTAAGATCAGTGGGCGTTTCGTTAAATATTATTTCTTTCCGAAGAAATATTAGTCACCTTTGCCTTGAAATTTAAAAATAGAAAGTCACTGTAATATTTTTATGTTAGAAATATTGGCGAGCCTTTTAACGAGATGGCACGTTATTCCTTTATTTCAAAGAGATTCTGTATTTTATAATTTAATATCATTCTTCATTTAATTAATATAATTTAATTTTGTAATTTTTAAATTCTCTACACATAGAGATTAGGCAAAATAATCGTTGCCATCGGACGCTGTTGCGCTTTGAACTTGCTCGCATTGAAATATATATTCTGTCTGGTGCGATTCATTATTTTCAGAAATTTTCCAAGACAATAGTTACGATTGCAAAATCTTGGTTTGAGAAACATGCGAATAAAGTTTAACATCTTCCCTGACTGGCACAGTTATCAGACTCAAATATTATTGAGAGACTATGATCTATTCTCGAAAACAATGTCAAAAGCAGTCTCTTCTCCAGCTTTACTAAAATTGTTGAGAAGATATTATATGAAGAATTGTATATAATATTCTATTAAATGAATCTATTGAATGAATCTATCACAGAAGAGAGAAGAATTCAAACTGTATTGAAAACCAATAGAAGTCCTACGCGTTAATAATAAAGAATATTCCAAGCAAACGAGATGACTCTATTATTTTGTGCAACCTCTGTGCCCTCTGTATTATTTTCTTCACTTTTTATCTTACTCGTTTGTCTTTGGCCCAGTTTCCTTTATTTCCATATCATTTTTATTTTTTCATTGCCCCTGCAAAAGGTATTTCTCTCGATAAAGCAACTCGAAGTTGCATCAAGTTGCGTTTCTTTTACTTTCCTTTCTCATAAAATGTAGAAATCGGGAACGGTGTACGAAAAGCTCAGTGACTTTAATGTTGTAATATGCATACTTCTTAATAGAATATAATAATTAAGAATATAATATAAGTATATACTATTAAGAATATAATAGATAAGATAATAGAATTAGTGAGATGTAAAAATTGGAATTAAATATTAATTTAATTTCCTATTTTCTTCATTTATTTCTTTTTTCACGAAAAATGGAAATACAACAACACTAAAAATTAAAAACTTCTCGTTCGCTTCATTTCTTATACTGTTTGTGTATTCACCCAAAATATTTGAAATATTCATACCATATAGTTTTACTTCTGTTCGAAATTTCGACACGATTGCATTTAAATTTTTACGATAAACTTTCACTCTGCCCGTTTTATCGTTCAATTACGTTATTGATTGAAACTGATTGAAACGCCTGGAATGCGCGAGAATATGATTACTCCTATTCCAAACTCAAAGACAACTAGTCCCAAATCCCTGCACAGTGTGATTAGTAGATTCTGCATTAATTTAACAATTGCCGGTAATTCGTAGTTTAATTAATTTACGGAAAGGGCACGTTCTGTTTCACCATTGTCCCCTGCGTATATATTAATGTCCTGAACGTCAATAGTTAACCACAATTGGTTAACTCAAATTTGATCGACTAGCAAGCTAACTTTCTTGGAAGATTATAGACGTTGCGAAGTGAAGATTTTTATGGAAAAAATCGACTCACCTCAGTTTGCAAATCCATCTTGAACGAAGTAGAAAGTCTTCGAACTATAGCGGACTCTGGAACAGACAGAAATGAAAATATTAAAACAAAAGAATCGAAAATTATTCATATATTGAATTGCTGAGTTTGTGGCTGAGGAAGGATTTAGAAACAGAAAATGTTGACAGAATTTATACTTTTTATTAGATAGCGTGCGCATTGTCCTTTTCAGAAATTTTTATTATTTGTTAGATAGCTTCAGAACCACTTTCCTGATTTTAAATTTTAAAGGAAATTTTTCACAAGCTTTCAAAGTATTAACTTTTTTATTACAAAAGAGAGTTTTGTAAAAACCGAGGTAAATGACGATGGTATGAATTTTTTATGAGACATTTTTTGATTACATTTTTTGTCAGATTGAATATTCAAGTTGTAGTCCAACATCTTCTATCTCTACGCCTTCCTTCTCTCTTCTTCATTGTCAGTGCAAATTTCACAGATTATGAAACACCCTATATAACCATTTACGCGTTTCATTGTTCCCTCGAACGTATAAACCAATTGACGAAAATGAACGGGAACTTGGCTCGAATGCAGCTGATAGCAAATCTGCTGAAAGATTAACGGAGATTCAATCCCCAACGTCTCTCCTTCAACTTCCTCTGTACATTTAATGAACATCAAACTTCTCTGCTGCTGAACTCTGAACTCTGTTTAATTCTAAACCGTTTACTCCTCCTTCCGACTATCAATATCGCCGATGCGTTACAACGACGCGATTAAACTCGCGATATTGCAAAGTAAATCGCAAGACACTTTCCCGACAAATCTGAAAATTTACAGTTCAATTATTATAATCGTCGTTACCTTTCATCTCTGAAACCTTAATTGGATGAAAATTTTCTTATATATCCATTAATCTACCTCCATTTCACGGAGCTCTAAATCTATTGAAATAGTTACGGTCCAATATGATGTTCAACGTCGTCTTTTCAAACACGATGAGGTCTAGCTTAATCGCGTTCGTAATTCCCATTGTTACGAAAAACACACGTTTCTCGCGGCGCGGTTATTAGCAACGTTGTTATTGGCATTAACGTTAATACACGCACGCTGCAGTTTCATTCGACGGAATTGTCAAAGTTGTGGAAAACTTAATCAAACTTTTAATCAAATTCTAACGTCTCTCGTAATTCTTCTTGTCTCCGTTCTCAACGAACGAAATATACAAGGTGTTCCCCTAACTGGTGGCACAATCGAAGTGGTAAAAGGTGTGAAAACGAGTCGAAAAGAGAGAATAAAATTTGTTTGTTAAAGATTTCGTTTTAAAATTGAGTTTGAAAAGCATAATTCTGGCCGTGACAGGAAATATTATACAATCGCTTAATGATATCTTTGGAGATGATAATTTCGTTTGATACAAGATGTCACAGAGTAATTCCATTAAAATAAGATACAATCTGTGAAATTTTTGACGTGAAAAATTTCATTGAGAAAAATTGACTAACAAAATAATAATAATTAACTATTAAAAAAGAAAAATGAATTGCGTTGCGTGAACCTTATCTCGCGATTTATTTTCAGATACTCGATATTTCTTTAAATCCTGCCTCGAACTGTAAAAAGAAATCCAAGTTTTCCCGCTCTTTAAATTACGTTCGCCAGATTTATTCTTACGGACTGAATTTCATCGATACAAACTAAAGCAGAAAAATTCGATAAATTCGAAATCCGGTTTACTTTTATATCGCTGTCTGTGAAGAATGGCTTTAAATGATAGATCGTGACAAAAGGAAAAAGAATGTAATAAAAGAAAGAAATTATAATCGATAGAAATAACAGTAAGAATACCGTTCATAATCAGTTTTCTTTCCAACTATTAAAGATTCGTAATAAGTTTACAGTAACTTAATAACTTAATAATCTACAATCTACAATATCGAAGCAATTAGTATACACAAAGTAAATAAAAATGCAAATTTCTTGATAATATTACGATAATATTTCGATGGAAATCTTTTAATTCAGATTCGTAGATCTATTTAAAGTTGAAAAATATCTTTTTGTATTCTGTTTGATAACCCGACAGAAAGCAAACGGTGAAAAAAATATCAAAAAGCTGCTTAAATTACGAAGGTAAAATTGCGAAAATAAAAAAAGTTTATTAAAATATCAAATATCAAAACTCAATTTGCGAACGAGAGATTTTCCACGATTTAAAAAATGAATAGTTCGTTATAGCACTATAAATAAAATTGATCGTCTACGCGGAAGAAAAAAAATAGCATGATAGAAAAATACTGAGAAAATCTTTAGAAAATCTTTCTTGCAAACAGTGTCACGAAACAAAATTCAACAATATAAGTTAATGATTCGCGTTATTGCAATATGATACAAATTCTTTGATCATCATCGTCGAAAGTGGTTCGTATTACGACATAATTGTTTGCCATTTATCGGTATTTTTATATCTCGAAATTCACGCTCGAAACTTCTAGTCCAAGTTGTGAAATCGATGAATTAATTACGTCGATCGGAATATTTGTCCGTGGAACTTTATTTCAGTCTATCAGAAAACCGATTTGTATTATTGGATCAAAATTTATTACATCGCGTCCGGTTTTCTCAACATTCATTTCACGTCTGGTCTATTTAACTTCCTATTTAACCGGTCGAGGAAATCTGCAAGTTTTCGATAAAACGATCCCGAACAATAGATACCCGCCGAGTTCTCGATAGACTAGAATTGTTATAGTTTCGATATCCTTGAATGTTTCCAATTTCGTACTCACATGTGTGCGCGCACTATTGGCCATTTTCTCTCGTATTCAAAATTTAGGATAGACACTACTAATTTTTTCTAGACTTTATTTTATTTATCCTAAATTGCCTGACTATTTAAATTGCCACTAGTTCGATTTTAAATTGATACAATCTTTCTATCTGCTTGTCAACAACCTTCTCTTTATTTAAACCATTAAGAAGCAAAGAATTTAAATAATAAAGAATTGTTATTTTCAAATTATATAAAAATAATTAATATTAATTATTTTTAAATTAATAATAATTTGAATGCGTGAGATATTTTTATTAATATTAATTATTTTTAAATTAATAATTAATATTAATTATTTTTAAATTAATAATTAATATTAATTTTTTTAAATTAATAATAATTTGAACGCGTGAGATATTTTTATTTTTATATCTACAAGCGTATCTAGTGCAAGGAACTAAAATCGTTGCCGATCACTTTACCAGATCGTATCGTGTAAAAAACAAACAAGAATCCTGGTATCATGGTGCAAGTAGTGGATAGCGCAATTCCTAGAAGGACTAAGATAAGAAATTCTTCCTTGGGTTAATTGCTTTTTTCGAGGCATGAGATCGAGGTACGGTATTACGAACATGGTTTAATCCTAAATATTTCCCACAAAGACCAGCGGTCACGTTTTGTACAGCGTCATTTCCAAGAACATCGAGCAATCTCCGATTTAACCGAAGAACAACATCGGTAGAAGCGTCTGGACGTCTGCCAACTTCTGTCAAGTTAACCATCGACCACCAACTCTCCGATACCAATTTGATCACGTCATTCATCATTATGACTCCTCGGTTCGAATATTTTTTTAAATGTGCAAATTATACGAATTTTTCACTAATCTAATTATAGATCCTTACTCCTTACGCATTATTATTTAAATGCATCATACATTTATTGTGCGATTATCATGGAATGAATATTGGCGTGTCTGCCGATATTTAGTAGAAATATAATACACTTATTTTTTAATTATTTTATTATAAATTTTTATAAATATATAAATATCTGCGGTACTGAAATTTAGAGAGATTCAGAGAAATTTAAATAGGAAAATTTTAATGAAAACTTCTATAAATTTACTATAAATTTTTATAAATATATAGAATACTGGATAAAATCTATACTACTAATAAATCCAGAAAGATTCCGAGAAATTTAAATAGATTTCAATGAAAACCAGAAGATCAAAAAGAATTGAAAGACAAATAGAGATGAAAATAATACAAAATCGCTTTACACAGATTTTACATATTGTATCAATATTTCAATTAGTTAGTTTTCTAACTACATTTTGCTGCTTCGATAATACGATTATCTTCATTCGTTCATCGTAATGTGTTTTATCACCTGTATTTGGTTCTGTTTTTGTTCTCAACATTTTGAAAATTGTATAATCGTTCAGTGCAGCACACTTCATCGTGTTTCGAGAAACTAATCCTTGTCATAGTTCGTAATAGCGAAAACGATCGACAAATTGAACAGAATAGAAGATGATGTTTTTTTCATTACTTTTAAAAGCTTCGGACGTTCTTTCTTTTTAACTTGGTATCTTCTTCTAAAAGTTTCGAGCAAGAAAAGCAACGATCAACAAGATGTTGAATGATAAAGGGAGATTGGACGCGCTGTAAACAATATTGTGAAAACGATGAGGCGACGAAGGGTGGTTTTCACGGGGGGAAAAAAAGCTCGCGGGTGTATTTCATCAATAAACGTCCAGAGTGTGTATGTTAAAATAGATTTACAGCAACAGCTGCGCCAAGAAGTTCAACCGAAACCCTCACACTTAAGCAGTTATCTGCTCAGCGAATTCTCTTTGAAAATTAAAAATCAATTTCACTTTCGTTTGATTGAACAAAAGTAATTTAATTAAAGGATTTAATTAAAAAATACGAGTGGGCAGTATCAAAGGCTTGATTTTCGTGCGTTTTTCTTTCTTTTTTTTTTCTTCTAGTTCAAAAATAATTTGTGCATTTAATTTTATTAAATATTAAGAAAGAGACATACGTAATATTGCCAATATTTGTGGAAATATTTTTGTTAGTTGAACGTTGTTGTTTCCAAAATTTAAGGAAATTCAAATCGTAATAACTTGCACGAAATTAATTCGTCAAAACGTTTTATAATAGAAAAATAACCTGCATATTTAATCATGAAAATTAGAAACGAGATACGCAATATTGGAAATGCTTCTGTTAAAGTTTATAAGTTCAGTTAAATTAACGTCGTTATTCCGAAAGTTTGAGAAGATTCATTCAGCATGAAA